CGTGCTACTCGGCTCCGTGAGTGCGTCGTGAGGGGTGGTCGAGACGGTATCGATAACTCGTGTAGCAGCGGACCTCAACGCGTACGGCGCTGTGGCTGCGCCGTGCCGCGTACTTCCGCGAGCTACCACCTTCGGTCCCTCAGACTCTTCACGCAACATCGAGATAGCGTTGGGGAAGGAGGCCATTTCCTTTTTCACCCGGAGTGTCGGGAGATCTTTCGCCGGCAAACAGGCGTGAGGGCAGTCCGTGTAACCGCTGGTCTCTCCGGATGGGGACGAGGTCTCGTCCAGCTCAGTCTTGATCATATACTCACGATCTAATTTGCTTGTCGTACCTTCGAGGGCACCAATCCTCGTAGCACTGGATATCGATGTCGCGTCGCAGGGGTACATCTTACCCCGTACGACAATGTCGGAGCAAGCTCTTTTGCTCCGAAAGTCTTGTAGTAGTCTTGTAGAACACTGACTACTTTAAATGTGGGTCTCTCGAGGGAGCCCTGAGAAGCAAGGACGACTTCTGCTAAATTTAGAAGTACGCCGCCGCAATGACGTGCGTACTATTGCTTTGTACCCGTAGCTAGCAAAGAAAATGCCTTGTAGGGGTTTGACGAGGAAAGTTGCCGCGGATTTGCAGATCTCGATAGAGTCTGAGTTATAGGACTCGTAGGAGCCTATATGTGTACCCTGTACCGAGGTGCGGGTCTCTCGATGGAGCCAGCACAATCGGAGTCAGGGTCTTCGTCAGAGGTTCTCAGCCTCGGACGGTATGCAGGTCTCTGAAGGAACCTGAAATGTATCGCTGTTCGATGCAGGGGACTATCGAACAGGATCTTCGCCTCAGGTTGGGCTACCTCGGGCGGTACGCAGGTCTCTGGAGAAGCCTGGGATATCGCTGTGTCGATGCAGGAAGCTATCGCACAGGATCTTCGTCGGAGGTGGTCAGTCTCGGACGGTATCGCAGGTCTCAAAAAGGATCCCGGAATTTACCGCTGTTTCGATGCAGGGGGCTAACGAACAGGGTCTTCACCTCAGGCTACGCTACCTCGAGTGGTATGTCTCGTGAAGAGAGTAGTGGTTGCTAGGCACTATAAATATCCGCGTTTGGAGTTTCCTCCCCTTTTGTGAAAACTCTACCCGCGGTCTCGGCTTAGGTTACCGACCATCGCATCCAACCGCCAGAGCGGTGGGACCTTCGGAAGACGGTCCTTTCGGCCCAAAGACGGGGAAATTGGAAAGATCGGTGAAATTTTCCCCGTCTTCGTAAAAGGGCTTACGGAGGTCTTAATACTGGATGGATCAGGTTCAGAAGTGGTGTGTAGATGCACGATACGGAGTAGTACCGCGGTTGGAGGGTTCGGCATAGACGTAAAAACCTATTATGGCTTAGCTGGCCGTTAGTAGTCGCACGATTCGGCTCGAATTTGGATGTTAACCACCTAGGGATGCTCTAGTGTGGTTTTGAGGTTCGGCCGAGAGCGAATGAGCGAAACGGCTAAAAACGCGGAAAACGTTAAATCCGCGTTTCCCCGTGTAACGGCGTTTTGGCTCATCCGATTCGGACGAAAATTTAGCAAGATAATGCCAGCGACTTGAGGAGTGCTGCATTAAATTTTGACACCGATCACTCAATAACTTTTCCTATTGACGATAGCGTCCTTGACCAATTTGAAAAACTTAGATGATAATTTCCAAATATCGCCCTGAAGCGTCCCGGGGTTCGTCTGCAGGTTGCGAGAGTCGCTGCAGTGGATACTGCGCGCGCGGGATGGCAGACCCAGGCGAGATCAGTCGCGATGCGGGTGACATTGGAAACATCGGTGAAATTGGCGCTGTGGAAGCGCTATCGCCGGGAGGATCGATGTCATAGCCCGGGAGGCAGCGACATTATTGATGTAATTATTCCTACAAAGCTGATTTTTTCTCATTTTGTTGTTTTGATATCGTAAGTAAACGGAACGGCAGTCTACCGCGCCAATGTGGGGGCAAACGTCAGTAACAATTTTTTAAACATGTAAATAAATAATACTTAAATGCCTTATACCTACAAGGCTGCAACTTTTTAGAGTGATCAATTATACCTAAAAATACAGTATAGTGATAGTCTACCGCGTCGGAAGGGGGGCCATCAAGGGTCTACCACCCACGCAAGGTGTTGAAAAATTAACTTTTTTGACTTATTTCTACAAGGCTGAATTTTTTTCTCAAATACTTTAGTTTATAAGAGAACCAAAAAAAAAAGTCTACCGATCATCTAAGGGTGCAAAGCCTTGATAGACGCAATGGAATGCACGATCTCCCGAGCGCAGTCGCTGCGCCGATTCACTGTAAGCCGCTCTGAATAATAACTCATACCGGGATTAAATTACAATCTACAAAGCTGCTTTTTTGTCTATAGATATCTTACAATAATTATTGTCAAATAAACGTCTTATACCTTCGATACGAGGTGGCTAAAGCTTCGGTAGACGTGGCGAAAATTTTTGCGCGGAAGTTGCTTAAAATTCCAAATTTATTATTAATTATAATTTTTTGAGCTTACACCATTATTTAAACGTATGATATAGTAACAACGAGCGAGCGTTAGCGAGCGAGATTTTTGCTAGTATAATAGGTATTAACAAAAGTTCAAAAAATTTTTTTTTCAAATAACTGACCTTTTTCTTTTTAACATTGAATAATTAAATTTATTTCACTTTTACTTATAATTTATAACATTAATACTTTTCGATAATAGCGCGCGAAATGCTTGATTTGCGATTCATCATCACATTCGTCAATTACACTCGTGCGAGAATTATTCTATCGCACTAGTATCGAACAATATTTTACGACACTTATTTATAAAATAAATGATAACAACGCAAATGTTTTTTATTACAACAATATAGTAATTATATAAAAAATAAATATATTTTTCTTATTCCTCATCGCTACTGACATTTGATTCCTCATCGCCTTCCATATCATCACTATCTTCATCCTCATCATCTTTCTGGTCACACACTCCATCATTTTCTTTAAGGTATTGACAACCGTCATTTGCAATTTCTGTGTCTGCAAATAGCAATATATTATTAAATAATTATTATATTATGCTAACATAAATTCACCCCCTTGTCTGAAAGTCATTTTTTAATTGAGTTTTAGATTTCCTTAAAATGCAAATATGTGTACCTGAATCGTTATCGTTCTGTAGATCAAACGTCACATCATCGATTGACTGAGGCAATTGGTCGCCACTAAACCAATTAAAATCATATCTTGCATTCTCATCCACTTTCCAGCCACAGTCGAGTGGGGATAATGTTGTAGGCTTTAAGTGAGCATTACTCCAAATTTGTGCAATATATGCTGTTCGGAGTATGTGTTCTCGGGGCTCTGATTGGCAAGGTGGTAAAGCAGATGCATCGAAACTCTTGACCTTTTGACGAAAGATTTTATCGTTAGTAGTTTTGTAAGCTTTCAAAAACATCACTGATCGATTGTTATCGCTGATCGATATTGTTATAAATTATAAATAAAAGTGAAATAAATTTAATTATTCAATGTTAAAAATGAAAAAGGTCAGTAATTTGAAAAAAAAATTTTTTGAACTTTTGTTAATACCTATTATACTAGCAAAAATCTCGCTCGCTAACGCTCGCTCGTTGTTACTATATCATACGTTTAAATAATGGTGTAAGCTCAAAAAACTGTAATTAATAATAAATTTGGAATTTTAAGCAACTTCCGCGCAAAAACTTTCGCCACGTCTACCGAAGCTTTAGCCACCTCGTATCGAAGGTATAAGACGTTTATTTGACAATAATTATTGTAAGATATCTATAGACAAAAAAGCAGCTTTGTAGATTGTAATTTAATCCCGGTATGAGTTATTATTCAGAGCGGCTTACAGTGAATCGGCGCAGCGACTGCGCTCGGGAGATCGTGCATTCCATTGCGTCTATCAAGGCTTTGCACCCTTAGATGATCGGTAGACTTTTTTTTTTGGTTCTCTTATAAACTAAAGTATTTGAGAAAAAAAATTCAGCCTTGTAGAAATAAGTCAAAAAAGTTAATTTTTCAACACCTTGCGTGGGTGGTAGACCCTTGATGGCCCCCCTTCCGACGCGGTAGACTATCACTATACTGTATTTTTAGGTATAATTGATCACTCTAAAAAGTTTCAGCCTTGTAGGTATAAGGCATTTAAGTATTATTTATTTACATGTTTAAAAAATTGTTACTAACGTTTGCCCCCACATTGGCGCGGTAGACTGCCGTTCCGTTTACTTACGATATCAAAACAACAAAATGAGAAAAAATCAGCTTTGTAGGAATTGGTGCAAAATTTCTGTCGCTGCCTCCCGGACTATCATGTTATGGGGCGACGTCCGCACGAAGATGCAGAGTCGCGGAAATCGCTCTCAGACGGTATCGAGTTCGATGTCTGAAATGATACCGTGGAGCCTCTTTTTATTTGTCCGGCCGACGGTGATTAGTTCTGCAACCGTGGCGGGTTTTTGGTTTGGATTGGAAAGGTAGGCGAATTTGATTGTTCGCCTCCTTCCCAATTCAACGGTCTCAGGCATATCCGTAGGTACAAGACGACTTCTAGGAATATACTGAGTGTTCTGAAATTCTGAAGCTCGCTCGAAGGGTGGAATATGACATGAGGTATTTTTCAGCGAGTGTGCCAAAATTGGATTCAAAGGTCTCGTAGGTGCATCTAAAATGGTGGTGGACATTTTGAGCGTATGTTGTAGTTTGTTTTGTACTTATGACAGTCAAGCTTCTTACACCCTATATATTTGTTCATTTTATTTTTTTTTAACAACTTAATAAGTATGGCATATAGTGATACCATTAGCACCGAAGGTAGCATTAAAAAAAAACAAACTGCAGTTGAACTTTTCTATAACAAAATTAGGTTTACCTTTGAGCAAGAACAGTACTACTAAAAAACGTGTAATAGTAAAAGGGATGTAGGTAAAAAAAGTAGTATGTTAGATTTTGTAGCGTTTATTTTTATTAAAATAATACTATACAATGTGTCCAAAACTAGATGGGAATATAGTGTTGTCAGATGTAAGATGATATAGAAAATCAATTAAATTAAGAAAGTGTTACAATTTGCATGGCCAACTAAATTGTGAATTCCAATTTAATATACTTATATACCTTCCAATACTTCCAATCACTTTCGAGACAGAACGATAATATGCAGCAGAAAGCAATGTTCTTTCAGATTAAGTGATAAAAATATCAAGCTCTTTGTGAATTGAAATTTCAAAGTTACTAATACTTGGTACCCAAAAATCAAAATCAAAATCGGATGTTGCAATACTGTACATTTAGAAAGTTCAATGAAAAAGTGCTTTAATCTTTTCATTGTATCTCGAATAAGAATGGTATAGATAAAAAAATTAATTTATTTAAAAACAATTGATAATATAATTTTTTAAATCACATCTGAGTTGGTCATGCAAATCGCTACAACGTTCCTAATTTAATGGACTTATAATGTCTTCTTATAATTTCAACAAATTTTCAATTAGATTTGGACACTATATATATGTACAGTGTAAATGCTGGTTGTACAATGCTTTAAATATAAATCCCTTATTCATTTAATTATCTTAATTCCGTATACAGCAAACAACATAGTGTTGCTTCCATTTTTTATCAAGTTTAAAATTTGATAAATCAAAATTGGAATAGTCATGAAACATTTGATTTTAAACAAAATATTGTGATATGTACTCAACTAACATCAAAACAAATTAAGGAACTGGAGAGAGAAAAGTATGTACAATAACATTTTTTACTTACGTTTTTCCATTGCCCTTCATTTTCTTTATTACATTTTGTTGTATTCTTGTATTGCCAAACATTTTGAATTGTTGTTTGTGGTTACATTTCTTACTTATGAAACTTACTATTCCCATAATTTTCAATTTATCTTTAAATTCTTATATCTACCTCATATGCAAAATTTCAATAAAAAATCTAGTTACCACTTGAAAATGTGATGAGGTAAATAGAGGAAAATTGTCGGAGGAGATGAGAGATTTAAAAAACATATTTAACCATCCCGAACGTTTTGGGTGTAGATGAATCAGGGATTTTATATTTTTAGAGCACTCCTCGGCCATACGCACTATATATATATTTACATTTGTATTTAATGTTTTACTCAGCATTTGCATCATTAAATAAAATTTTTTCGTAAATGGTTGTCCTTACTGGCATATAAGGAGAAAGTAAATTAGGATCTCCAAACATAGTTAAAGGCAGTTTTAATTCGGTAACACCACACTCCTTATTCGTATATTCTCTCAAAATATAATCAGTATTAAAATCATGAAAAACTCTGGTATCATTTATTCGAACCATAACATTATCGACCCTTAAAAAGAATCTCAGCAGAACAAAGAATGAACTTGGCATGACCCGCTAAAACAGAAACAAATACATATAGTATACAGAACGCTTGGAAACGGTTGGACCATACTTCAAGGACAACTTCCTTAAGTGAAAATAAACTGCTTTACATCAAGTTACCTTAGTACAACTTTGCTTCCCTTAAAAGTTATCGGCTTTCACTGAAATTTAATATGGAAGGAATTAAAATAGCCGAATATGAATATTATTTTATTATTTTACCTATAGGCCGATTAATAGAGGTTTTGTTTGTGACAAAAATACTAGTAGCAAACGGATTGTGCCATCATATAAAATACAGTCTGTAGATATATCCATATATGTTTCCTACTCGAATTTACCATTAATTAATTTTTTATAAACATTTTTATGCAAAAAACGCATTTTTCTTTATTAAACCTAAACTAAGGAAGCAATCTGAATGCTAAAAGAGACAAGTTGTAGAGAGTCTAAATACAAATAAAATGAGAGATCGATGGATCCGATCGGATAATTAGAAATGAAGAAAACCCGGAAAAATCGGAAAATTTATCCGTTTGCTACTAGTATTTTTGTCACAAAATCACTGATTTAATGCTCTATTGATTGGCCTATTAAAACATAGAAAAATAAATACATCTTAAACACCCTATTTTATCATATTTCATGTGTTGATAAAGGATGCAGTACATATTTTTCAAAAATGTATATTTGGTGCAAGCAGCTAAAATTAACTGTTCCAAAGAAAAGTGAATACAAATTTTTAACTAAGTAATCAATTAAACAGCCATGTATTTGGGGATATTTATTTTATTGAATTTTACTTTTTTGCTAATGCAACTAAATTAAATATTTTTACGATTTAGACCAACAGACCTCCATACAAAAGTCAAAGCCAACTGGGATATACAGCCGCATGAATTTAACTTTGGGGTACTATACAGGGTGTCCGGTAAGTACCTCCTAATCTCTCGGGAGTGTATAGGGGAGGAAATAAAACTAGTCCTTCCTATATTTTTTTTCCTAATGTGCCGCCTAACGGAGTTATAGGGGGTCAAAGGGGTACCTAGAAATTAACGTTTAGGGTTATAACTTTGAAACTACCCTGTATATTTTAATAAAATTTTCGTACGTTGTATTACACATGGAGCTCTACGATTTGATGCTAAAATCAACTTTTTGCTATTATCAGGTGTCCAGAAACGGACTGGCCCTATCACAATTTTTCTCAAAATTTTGACAGAAGTAATTTTATCAAACTGAAAATATTATTATTAGATACTCTGAAGGTTTTTCTTTAAAAATGGTACTCTTTATTTATTTCGAAAAAATGAACGGTTTGCGAGATAAATCGGTTTTGAAAAAAATTGGTAACAAATACAACAACAATTAAAATTTATTTTTTTTACATATTATTTCATGCATTTAATTTCTTTAACTTTATCAAGTCCAGAAATCTTTGAACGGGTTGGCTATACTTTATGAGCAAGTAGTGACCAATTAAAAATAACATTTGAAAAATAACTTACTTACAAGACATGCAACAAAGAACATTCAACAATGAACAAAGGTACCTAAATGTTACTTCGGTAGATGTTCAAAATGAGCACCCCGTACTTCAATGCACTTTCTAATCCTACGAATGTTTTCCCGGTGCACTTGAAATAATATTCCGTGATTATTGCGGAGATGGTCACAGTTCTGTGTTAGCCTCAGCAGAAGTTCCTCTCTACTATTTACGGGTGTTGAATAAACGTTATTTTTTAAATGACCCCACAGAAAAAAGTCTAATGGGTTTAGGTCGGGCGACCTAGGTGGCCATAATACAGGTCCGCCTCGACCTATCCATCGATCACCAAAAACATTCGTCAGATGTTGACGTACTAAACGATCAAAGTGGGGTGGTGCACCGTCATGCATGTACCACATTTCAGTTCTTATTTGAAGGGGCACTTCTTCTAACAAAATATTTAGATTTTCCTCTAAAAATTGCAAATAAAGAGCACCATTAAGTCTTTGCTCCAGAATAAATGGACCAATCAAATGATTCCCGATAATGCCAGCCCACACATTCACCATAAACCTTTGTTGGTAGCGAGTTTGAACTAAAGCGTGAGGGTTTTCTTCATCCCAGACATGTAGATTATGCGAATTAATTATGCCGTCTCTTGTAAAACCTGCTTCATCGGTGAACAAAATAGATGTACCAAAATTATGATTCCGAATATGATGCTGTAAAAACCAATTGGCGTATTGAAGTCTTTTTGGATAATCATCTGGAGACATAGCATGTACTTTTTGGATGTGGTACGGGTAAAGCAATTGTTCTTTCAGAGTTTCATGTACAGCCCATTTTGTAACATTGTTTTGCGCCGCAAGCTTCCTTATGCTATTTGAAGGATTATTAGCAACGTCTTCCAATATTTGTTCCTCTACATGAGGGTCTCGTACTCTCCTCGGGGCTCCTGCTCCACCACGGCGTGGCAAAAAGCTTCCTAAATAAAGGATTCGGAAGAAATTAGTTTCACTAACGTTTTTCACTATTTTTTTTTACCTGTTTCTCTTAAACTACGATCAACTCTTTCAAAAGTTTTTGGACTCGGCAAATGTCGACCCGGAAACCTTTCCTCATAAAGTCTTCTTGCCTCCACGGAGTTGCATAATGCTTCCCCATAAATTAGGTGCATATCAGCATATTCTGCACAGGAATATTCTTCCATTTTTAAATGTTATTTCTAACGGCTTAAAACGAATACCACAATAAAATTGAATTTTTATTCTGTCACGCGCCTTTGACAAGTACTTTAAAATCAACAGGGTCTAACAACGAAAACAATAGAAAAGAACTCCATGGAGACAAGAGCAATAATAATTTGTAGATGTATTTTGGTCATAGATGTTGATTTTACAAGAAACGGCATTATTCATTCCCTTAATTCACCACCAGTAAATGTTTATGGTGAATCTGTAGGCTGGCACTAGCGGGAATGATTTTATTGTAAAAAAATAAATTTTAATTGTTGTTGTATTTGTTACCAATTTTTTTCAAAACCGATTTATCTCGCAAACCGTTCATTTTTTCGAAATAAATAAAGAGTACCATTTTTAAAGAAAAACCTTCAGAGTATCTAATAATAATATTTTCAGTTTGATAAAATTACTTCTGTCAAAATTTTGAGAAAAATTGTGATAGGGCCAGTCCGTTTCTGGACACCTGATAATAGCAAAAAGTTGATTTTAGCATCAAATCGTAGAGCTCCATGTGTAATACAACGTACGAAAATTTTATTAAAATATACAGGGTGGTTTCAAAGTTATAACCCTAAACGTTAATTTCTAGGTACCCCTTTGACCCCCCATAACTCCGTTAGGGGGCACATTAGGAAAAAAATTATAGGAAGGACTAGTTTTATTTTGACCTCCCCTATACACTCCCGAGAGATTAGGAGGTACTTACCGGACACCCTGTATATAGAAGCATACAGGGTGTCCCGAAATTCATGCAACAAAATTTGGTCATAGATTTTTAAGACAAATTTAGAGGACCCGTATTTTTTATTTTTGCCAAGTGGGTCCCTCTTTCGTAGTTACAGCCCCCTGAAATCTGCCCCTAAGAAGTTTTTTTTATATCTCAAAACCATGTTGTACGAGAATCACTAAATTTGGTACACAGGGATTTTATGACATGTGAAATCTCACAGTGCTACGCTTTTTGGCGAGAAACCCCTTTAAGACACTTTTCGTGGGCCAACTTGTCTTTGGAACCAGAAAAATTTGGTCGCAAATTTGATTTTTTTTTAAATTATTAGTTAGCTAGAATTTAGAAACTTTTTTGTCTCTCGATTTTGTTTCATAAAACGCAATGTTTTTGAGGAAAATGGCGAATCACGATATGCATTTGATCACATTTTGACATTTTTCTCGAAAACATTGCCTTTTACGAAAAAAGTATAAAGAGACAAAAAGTTTCTAAATTTAATGGCTTTCTAGTGGACTGATAATTTTTAAGAAATTTAAATATGCGACCAAATTTTTTTGGCTCCAAAGACAAGGGGGCCCA